GGGGGAGGCACCGTGTCTGACCCCTGCAGCGTCCCTGTGAAAACTTCGTGCCCCCCGGGGGGAAAAGTGCCGCCTGTTTGCCTGGTGAGGAGGCCGGGGCTAACGTCGGTGTCTCTCTGCCTTCTGCCCCACAGGAATTCCCTTTGATGGGGGGCTGCGCTGCCTGTGCTGGAAGGTGGGTTTTGCTTGAGGCGCTTTTGTTTCTTGCGAGTGATGCTTTGTGTTGCTTAAGGGCATACTGTTTTCGGGCACTTAAAGCTGTAAGCAAACAAACAAAAGAAATCCAGAGCTTAAAAGCCACTCAAAATTGGCAGTAATTTGTGGGGATCAGCACTGGCACAACTGCAGTAGTGTTTACTGAGACAGCTGTCACTTTGGGTGATTGAAAGGGGCTGTCTGCTCTTTGCATGAGAACAGCCCTCAGTATTAAGCTAGGAGTGCATTTCAGTCAGGTTTGCCATCGATCGATCCTACAAATATGTCTGTGCTGAAAAACAATCCCCAAAGTATTCCTGACTGTCACTCTGCAAAGTACTAGGCTTTCTGGAGAAAGCTCCCAGAATTTTCAAAGAGCCAGTTCTAGCCACTGTGTTTGGCTTGCTCATCTTGATACTACAGCTCATTCCCCAAATACTAATTTGTGTGCATCTGTCTTCTGTACAGATACTCCTGAACTACCTCCCTTTAGAGAAAGCCTTATGGAGCTCTTTGCTGAAGAAACAGAGGTGAGGACATGGCTACTTCCCCCTTTAATGGTATCTGCGGAGAAGAAGAATAGTTCCTTAAATAATTAAGTACCTTCATAAAATGAATTGTTCTTGTGTGGGATGCACTGTTCTGTAGGCTGTCTGGTGGATTGACTTCTTCAGCTAAACTCAACTGAAGAGAAAATCAAATGCCTTCTGGCTGAGCAGGGTGGTACAGAGAGATCTATTTGAACTCAGCCTGGGTGCTTACGCTGACTTAATCTTCTGCTTCATTACAAATTCCTCTTTTCTTTCTGAAGGGATCTGTATTCCCAGTTCCTAAAGGAAATGATTATCCAGCCTGGCATTGCCAAAGCCAACCTGGGTGTTTCAAGGGAAGATGTGACCTTAGAAGATCACGTAAGTGTTGTTAAGCCTTTGGGTTGCATAAAATTCCCCAGAACTATAAACTGTTGTTCTAGAGTCTGGACCCCTGGGCTGCTCTTGGCTCTGTTCTCAACTGTTTTACCCTGCTAGCAAGAGGGATGGTTCCTAGGTACCAGCCTGGCACTTGTGTGTTAGTAGTCTTCAGCGTGGATTATTGGCAAAGCACCAATAGTTCTGAAGAGAGCTGTTTTCAGCTATGTGTATCCCTTCTCCTCTCCACTGGGGCTACCTGCCTGGGCTGTGGGTCTCCTAGGGAACAAAAGGTACCTCTAGCAAAGAGACGCTCTCCTGGTAATTCAGGTCTGTGGGTGGACTCACAGCTAATTTCAACAGAGAATATAAAAGAGGCAGGAGAATCAAGTTGGACTGTGGCATGGAAGGCAGGAGACTCATTTATTTCTAGTTCTGCTGCTGGCTTTTTAAAAATTTGACTATTTCCTGAATCCCTTGGCTTTTTCCTTCTCTGAAAGCACTGTTAAGAGTGTATGTGTTGGGGGAGGGAATGAAGTAACTGATCAGAAGAGACTGTAAAACGATACAACTGCTTCCATGACTGGTCCTGAACATTAACTTCCCTGCTAGCGTGCAGTCATCTGTGCTACTGTGATCTCTGGAGGCCTTGGTGCTTTAAAATCAGCGTGTTTGTAACGCTTCATGTGTTGGCAGGTTACAGTGATCTTTGAATCTCTTGGAACATGGCTTTTTTATTTTTTTATTTTCTCTGTTAGTTGTTAACTTTACATGGATCTTGATGTGGAGAGAGGAAAGTCTGTGTGTGGAGGGGGCATTATATTTGTCATATTGGAAAACTGGTCAGATACAGGATAGTTTGTTCATAGTAATATCTATTTCTTCCTGGGCAGAATGGTTGTGCTTAATCAGACTTCTTAGAGCTGAGATGGGGGGGATACTTGTAACTAATAACCACAGCACCTGAGTACTGAGTGGGTGGATAACTCTAATGAAGTGCAAAGACCCTCTCCGTTGTACAGGTTGGAGCTGCAATCAGGAATCTTTCTGACACAGGACAGGATACCTGATTTGGGAGCAAAGTCATTAAGAGTCAGGTGAAAAGAGATTGGAAGTGTTGGCTTCTCCCTCTCTAAGTGAACCCGCGTGATCACTTGTTTCACAAGTTCTGATCCACTTCCTGCACACTGTGTGAAGAAACAACACTAAACGTAGCTAGTGAGAAAAAAAACGTAAACCTGATGTGCTAGGAGTGTGCTGGTACCAGATGACAAAGGGGCATCAGAAATGTTAACTCAGTGTATGTTTGCTGAGGATTTTGATACATGCGAAACATGCTTGTTCTGTTTCTGTTTTTTATTTCTTTAGCCCCTCAATCCAAATCCAGACAGTCGATGGAACACTTACTTCAAGGACAACGAAGTGCTTCTCCAGATAGACAAAGATGTCAGGTGTGTGAAGCTTAATGACTCAGGTTTCTGAATCCGAGTGGTTTGGTTAACACATTGTACTTTGAAAACAAAGTTTATTATTAAACCGAGCCTCCTGTTCAACATGGGCCTTGTACTTCCTTCTTCTTATGCCCGATTTCCTTCTGTACCCATCCTAGGAGGCTGTACCCTGACATGGCATTCTTCCAGCGCCCAACAGACTACCCTTGCCTTCTAATCCTGGACCCCCAAAATGAGTTTGAGACGCTGCGCAAGCGGGTGGAGCAGACCACACTCAAGTCACAGACGGTGGCGCGAAACCGCAGCGGGGTTACAAATGTGAGATCTGGGTGGGGGCTGTCCATGGGGCAGGCTGTCTTAGCGGACAAGGGGAGGGCTGTTTTGCAGGCTTTTTTCTGTTTTTCCACTTTTTTTTTGTGGTGGAATTAAGCAAATACCCCAGCACGTACTGTATATTCTGGTGGCTAGACAGCTTTGTAGAACCGGTTGTCGTGCCTGACAGTTAGTAGGGAGCTATAGATGTATGCAGTTTTAAGGACTGTTTTTTCCTGATTTCTGGTGGAAGTTGAAGTTGCAGGAAGATGCGAGTATTTTATGCTTGACATGATGAACCTTTTTGTATGGGAACAAAACTGAGGGGTAAATTTGTGAGATTCAGTTCTGGAAGACTATCAATAAACCTGCAAACAGGAAAAGAGCAGGGTATCTGCTGGAATGTGTGTTGTCTCTGTCCTCTTTCATGAGCTTGACAGTACAAGTGCCACATGCTGTTGGGGAAGGTGGCCTGTTGCCACAACAGATCTATACTTTTCCTCATACTGCTAACAAAGAAGTGGAGCTGCTGTGGTTTTGTACTGTGTGGGATCAGGTGGTGCAATGATTCAGGGGAGCTGTCTGTTGCTGCACAGACTGTTTTGTTCTTCAGGGTTAGCCAGCGCTAGGACTTCACTGCCTTTGTGCTTCCTGAGTTATTTGTCTTGGTTTTCGTGAAAATCTGCCTGCTTGGTATAAGCTGCCCAAATCTTTTTGGGGGGCTGTGTGTGTTAAAAACTATCTGTGCTGGTTGGTTATCCTGAATCAGCCCTGCTCTTACCTTGCTCTTCAGGTGAGCTCCCCTCTCAAAACAACTCCTAATTCTCTGAGCGAGTACGAAGTCCTGCCCAACGGCTGTGAAGCCCACTGGGAAGTGGTGGAGCGAATCCTGTTCATTTATGCTAAGCTGAACCCTGGGATAGCATACGTTCAGGGGATGAATGAAATCGTGGGGCCTCTTTACTACACCTTTGCTACAGATCCCAACAGTGAATGGAAAGGTGAGAGACTTTTGACTGCTCAGTAATTGCTGTCGTACTGCATGCTCTCTGTAAAGAACTGTTTTGGGAATTGATCTCTCTTTAGGCAAGTTGGGTTTGGCTGATGGGGGCCAAAAGGCAAACACAGCAAGAGATTAGAAGTTTTGGGGACCATAGCAAATTGATAGAAACGTGGTGAGAACATGGGAAGCGAGGATTTTTGAGGGGGTTTTGTTTGTTTAGCATAGATCTAAGTTGCACTTCATGAAACTTAAAATCCCTTTAGAAGGTCTCGTTTGCTTATACTGTGTATACCAGGTAAGAAAAGAATGAAGTGGGAGTATTTTGCCTGCTGCTTCTACTTCGTGGGACCTCTGAGGGCGTGTGCTCATGGTGGGAAGAGCAGATGGTGTTCTTGGACATAGATAACTGGTTTGTGACCCGATGTCACGAAGACCTTGTGTTGCACACAGGGACTGTATTTGCAGTGACTCAGTAGACGTGTCTAGTTTAATAAAAAAAGTGTCTGGTCTTGTCCCAGACCAAGCAAGCCAAGATCTTATGGGATCTGCTATTTGAAGTCAGTACAGCAACCGGATTATGGAGCAAGAACAGTTCTAAGACTGCGTGCTTCTGTCAGTGATGTTTCCTCTATTCTCTCCCTGCCCCCTTTCTTTTTTTTCTCCCCCTAGAACATGCTGAAGCAGACACATTTTTCTGCTTTACCAATCTAATGGCTGAAATTCGAGACAACTTCATTAAGAGCCTGGATGATTCCCAGTGTGGTATCACCTACAAAATGGAGAAGGTCTACTCCACCCTGAAGGAAAAAGATGTGGAGCTGTATTTGAAACTGGTGAGGAGCTAGGTGTTTCTCTGAGTCTTGGTTGGAATGCAAGGAGTGGAGCTTAATAGTGTATTTAAATGTCAACCAATTTTGTTAAACTATTACTGCTCTTGAATAGAACACTTGAGAGAGTGTATAAAGGGCTTTGCCTGTAGGGCACAGAGGCTCCCTTATCTGTGAGCTGAAACAACCTCTCCTTGGAGTAAGCCTGGAGCAAGCTGACACAGCAAGGCTTTCCTCCCCTGCCTGACTGAAAGCAAACAATAGTTGTTGCAAAGCTGCCAGCTGTGAGTCTGAAGTGATTTGGCCACTATCCCTGGTCACCTGGGTTGAGGTGTAGTTGGAGCTGGAGTCTCTTCTAGTTATAAGGAAAACATGAGTTTTGCTGTAGAGTTCCTTGGAATTTGAGGTTACAGGAATTGTGTCTCTATCTTTAAGAGCAAAATGAAAAACAGCCCCCCTCCTCCACACACACTTCTGTTGCCACTGGCTGCCCTGACAGCACTAACTTAAACTTCATGGAGATCGTCCCAGAAGTAAACTGAAATCCAGCAAGCAGGAACATCCCACACACCTAATTCTCCTTCATCCAAAGATTCCTTGTGTTGATGTGGGTTTTGTAGAACATGTAGAAGGCAGCTTCTGTTGGAAACATCTTTGGGTCTTATAGTCCATTTAGTGTAAAAGTTCAAGGAGAATTTGGAAGGGAAAGTTGTTCTTCTTACTCCATCCAACCTTCACCAAATCACACTGAGATTTCTTTTAGGGGGTTTAGAGAAATCAGGATATGTTTCTTTTATAATGCAAAAGATAGTTTGTCAGTACAGTGACACGACCCACAGCGTTGGCTGGTGCTGATTCAGTGGAGAGAAAATAAACTGCTTACAGTTTGGCTGATGGGAAATGGTCTTGGCCATGCAGCAGCTGGTCCTTAAGAATATCAGCAGGATTCTGAACTCGTTTGACCTTGATTAAACTTACAGTCCCTTGATTTAACAGCAGAAAACAAGAAAGCTTCAGGCTAGAAGTGCTTATAGTATGTTTTTCTGACCATCAGTGTGAACTCTGTTCCATCATTGTTTCTTTTTGTGAAGAGTAAACCTTTTGATGAATACAGGGCTTCTGGAAAGGAGAGGAAATCCTGACAAAACAGTGCCTCTGCTAGAGGGGGAGGGCTGTGGCTTTGCAGATAAAATGGTGTTCAAATAGGAATGTTAAAATTACTTGGCAAGTTTAACGGAACTGACACAAGTAGTGCTTTTAGGAAGAAAAGCTTCCTTCACTCCATGTTGTGGACAGAGAAGCATTTTCTGACTTGTCTGTAGACATGGAGCGTGGCTGCGTTAAAAATCTCTCTGTCTAGCTTGAATGTGAGAGTCTTCAAAAGAGGCAGTGGGTTTGCTGATGTTGCAGGATGAGTTGGCAGCTTAGAGCAATATCAGGGTGGAGATGGGGATGGAAACATGGGGTGCATCTCTCACTTGTAGGGAATGGGCCGAGAGCACGTATTCATTCTTTGCCTGGTGCATGTCTGACAGCAAGAACAGAACATCAAACCTCAGTTCTTTGCCTTCCGCTGGCTGACGCTGCTCTTGTCCCAAGAGTTCCTGCTGCCGGACGTCATCCGTATCTGGGACTCCCTCTTTGCTGATGATAATCGCTTTGATTTTCTTCTGCTCGTCTGTTGTGCCATGTTGACGTAAGTACAGTGGTAACCTCCCTGCTCTTCTTTCCCTCTTTTACCTAAATCCGTGGATCCAGGAGTCTTCTGTAGGCATGTGTTAAGGCATCTGGTGAATAGGTTATAGTTGCTTTTTACAGTGGTAGCAGCAGCGTATTCAAAAGTCTCTATAAAGGCACAGTATAGTCTGTTTTTAAAGTTCCCTCATAAAGAGCCAAAAGTAGCTGGAATAATTTCCATCTTTCAGACTAATTCGGGATCAGTTGCTGGAAGGAGACTTCACTCTGAACATGAGGCTGCTGCAGGTAAGGATTAAATATGGTGGGTATAGGGAGCAATTTGAAGAGTCTTGAAATAGTACTGTGAGAGAGGATGATGATGATGATAGGGGTATGCCTGGCTGAAGAGAGGTACCAGACTTCTGATGGTTGAATGCAGAAAAGTCTGAAGTTTGATCTTGGAGCGTGCCTGTTACTGGAAGTATGAATCTTCCCATGCTGTGGTCCCCGCCCCCCACTGGGAAGCTAAACTCATGACGAATGACTACTTTAACTTTAACTTCCTTGGTGGTGGTGTCTGCTCCCTGTGCCGCTGACCGGGGAGCCGTACACTGTTTTGTCTTCCTAGCACTGTATGGATCTCTCCTCCTGCCTCCCCCTTCTTAGTTTTACAGTTGCAACAGGCCCTGTTCCAGAAAGTAATATTCCTTCTCTAGTGTTGTGTTGGTGAGGCACAGTGCTGCTGTCTGGAGCCCAGCATTGCCATTAAAATAAAGCTGCCTTTTGCTTGTGCACCCATTCTAGTCTGCAGAGAAATTGTTATAGACTAGAGGTTTTTAATGTCTCTTGGTTTGCAAACAAATTAATGTTTTCCAGTAAAGATGTGAAACCCTGTGTAACAGTATTAAGTTTATTGGCCAAAGGCTTTTGTTTAGTTCTGGGATCTGAGAGAGTCCAGGGCTGAAAACAGCTGCACTGCACAGCAGGATATCTCTGAGTCTGCAAGTTCCTGCTTTGGGCTGTGCAAGATACTGGCTTTGATAAGGCTTTCTGGCATGAAGAGAGCTATTATAGCAGGCCAGCCTACTGTACCCTTGGAGGACAAATGAAAAAATAAAACCAAAACACCTTCTTGAAGGGTATTGAGGCTTGATCAGTTACAAAACAGGAAACTGTCAGCTGTTAAGGGAGTAACTGAACACAGCAGTATGTTACCGTAGGCCAAGAATGCTGTTGTTGAGGTTTGCCCTGCTTAAGTGAAACGACGTGTGCAGGAAATGCTAGGTAGTCACTTATATCCCTTTGTTTCTTTGACATAGGATTATCCTATCTCTGATGTTCATCTGATTTTGAAGAAGGCAAAGGAACTTCAAGATTCAAAATAGTCCATGAGCCTAACAAAAGGTGTCAGAGAAACTGTATGGCAGTGGATCCCAGGAGATGCCCCCATGCAGTGTGGTGCATTAAAGCTCCTAGTGGTCTCTGCAGGACTTCAGGTTTTGTGTTTTGCCTACTGGCCACCTTGAAAACTTCCTTCTACTCTGTTTATTAGATCAAGGACTGATTACTTCCCCATCTACTTGGGTCCTGCACTCCAGATTTTTTTCAAATCTCGAATGCCTCTGTGCTGCCAAAAGCAGTTGTTTGTAACTTTTTTTAATGACTTTAAGTCTGGAGAAAATGAAACCATCTGTCTTCATATTCCTGAAGGGATGGACTCTTGCATCATGGAAGTAGCTCATGTGAAGTAACTTCTGATGGGGAAGGGACAGGCTGAGTCCAGTGGATATTGGTGGGTGAGTATAGAAAGATCTTCCTCCTGTGAATAGAATGTATTGCAATGAAGTCCCACATCCTGCCGTTCAAGTAGCTTCTGGATTATTCTCCCTCGTGTCTGCATTTGGCCATCTGTGAGGTGTGCAAAGAAGATTGCATCAGTTTCTGGTGATTGTCATCTGACATCCAGCAGTTTGGACCTCTTTGCCTGGGAATGAGACCTTGACAAGCTGAGATGGGAGGACGCAGTTACAGCTGGTGGCTTTGTGCACTGAAACTGCCTGAATCCAGAATCGCCTTATCAACAAGGTCTCCTTGAAAGCAAGACTGTGGTGGTTTTCATCAATTAGTGTAGTTTGAAGCCAAGCCTTATTACGCACAGCCTTAGAGCAGGAGCTTGTTGCTGCAGGGAGGCCTCACTCTGCTTTCCTTGCTCTGAACTGGAGCATATTCAGCTACAATCAGGATTCCGAAATACAAGAAACAGGCATCTAGTCACGTGCAATGAAGACAGACGTATCTAGGGGCTTATACAGGGATGGCACTGGGGTTTTCTGCCTCGGTGGCTTGCATAATATTAACCCGCATGAGCTCTGGTCGCAGTAACCTTGACATTGTCTCATAGTACTTCTTGCCAAGAAGAGACATGGTAGAGGTCTGACCTACAAGAGTCCTTTTCTGGTGTAATCCAGTGGGAATACAAGCATTTGTCAGCTGACTGCTGGGGCTGATCCACTTTTCTGTGTACCGGTCCTGTTGGAGTCACCATCCTGAGTCGGACACTTGTCCCTCCTGAGAGGGAGACAACTACATTTCAAACGCAGTGGAGCAGGCTCAGTTGAAGGTTGATGAAGACACACTATGGAGAGAACTGCTAACCTGCCAGCAGTGTCAAGCTGGTCAGAGACTGTAATCCTCAGAGGGAAAAACTGCCAACACCCAGGTGCTTGGGTTGTGCAGAAGATCTTGAGTGAACACTAATCCAGCATGCTTTTTCTTTTCTGTGCTGTGCTGGCTCACCTCTGCATAGCTGTTTGACACTGCAGTTTTCGGTATTTATGAGTATTGATTTGTTAAAGGTCAGACAAGATCTGCTTAAGCTGCTGATGGCCTAGAGTTGCCCTAGCAGGAGGGATGTTGTCAGCCTTCAGCTTTCTTACTAATGTTATTTCCTTCACTGAAGGCTGTTTTTTTTACAGGCTTCTGTAATTCTCACAAAGGTGAGTGGGGAGACCAGAGGACAGGTTGATGCATGTACTTGTGTTCCTACTGGCAATCCCAAGCAATCTCTGCCTGTTCAGAAGATGCTTGAGTGACACTGGTGCAGCCAGGTGGTGCTGCTGTGGTGGGGGAAGAGCAACCGAAGACTTATTTAATACCTGTGGCTAACAGTATCCCTCTCTGCTGCAATCCTTTCTAGAGGCTAGAGTTTTCCTCCAAGAAATATGGAACTGATAGACCAGGACAGCAGTGTGATGAAGCATCCTGTCTGCTTTAACCACTGGATGGATGTTCTTCTTGCCTTCTGTCACTGAGCTATTCCAGCTGGTCTCAGTTCTTGGGTACCCTGTGCTAGAGAGGTCAGCAGTCTGACCTTGTATGGCCAAAGGGTTAGCTGGTGGGCATGAATGTAGAACCAGAGGATCAAACTCTTAGGCAGAATTGGACCTCCTCCAAACACTTCTGCCTCAGAACTGCTCTAAATACTGCTGTAGCTCTTTCACATTCCATGTACAAGCTTTGCTCTCACCTCCACAAATACCCGGGCCATTAATTTCTGGTTCCCCTGGCAAGTGCAGGGTTCCCTTACGCTGTGTTTTCTCACTGGTGACAGGAGCATCCATGAGAGTTCCTGCTCTGAACAGCTGGAAGTCTCCTTAAAACAACCTGAGGAGGCAGCAGGCAGATCAAGATTAAGCATTACTTAGAGATGAACTTCTGCTTGTTTCAGAGTAGCATTTGAGCCCTGAGGTGACCACCTGCAGTGGCATTGCCCAGCTCTGAGTCAGGTGCTGGTCTGCAGCATTATAAATGCTCCAAGACATCTGGGAGGTGTCCGCTCAAGTAGTGGTGCGGGTGGCTGGCTGGGGCAGGTGTCATGCTGTCTTCTCCCTTCCTAGGTGTTGAAGGGCTTGCATTGTGCCATCCTACTTCTCTTTAGGGGGTGATGGTAAATGCTTTTAAAAGGAGTCTGCAGTGGTTTAATGGGATGTGATGAGCACTTTGGCTGAGGGAAGGGTTCTCTAGGATAAGTTCTGTAACCTTATCCAGGGTATGGCTGCTAAATGGAATGAGGAGTTCTTTAGGGAGAACTTGTAACAACTCTGATACACCCAGACAGGCTGGTTCCTACATGAAAAGCTGTTTTATGTCCTTCCTTGTCGCCTCCTGTGTGGTAGGACTTCTGTCTTCCTGTTGAAAGGAGTTATACTTTTCAATGACTTGGGACATCAGTTTCTTTATTCCAACACTTTTTCCTTTCTTTAAGAGCAAACCCAGATTTTCTGAGGGGAGAAAAGAAAGCCTTAACTTGCAACCAACTTTGAATTCTCATGAGTTTCTTTGGCTTCATTCCTCAAAGGCTTTTGGTGATTTATTTTTTTGTTGTTGTTGAGGTCAGACAGTATGTAACTAGTGGTTCCTTGCTTGTGTGGCCAAGTAACAACTGCACCACACTTGAGACGTTTCCCCTGCTGGTTTGTTTCAATCCTGCTGTGCTGCCGCGGCAGTGAGGTTGGCTGAAGCAGCAGTTCTTTGGGTTGAGAGGTGTTAGTCTGGGGTGCCTTGAGGACCCCTTGTTTCATAGGGGCCGAAACAGGGGATGCTTAAATAGCTCTTACAACACATTCGTCACAGACAGGACTACTGCCAGGCAGGGGAAGGGGGACAAATCTTCCACTGGGAGGAAAAACAGGACACTCTGCTGAATGTGGGGAGAAATGAGCCTTCCCTGGTGGGAAGAGGTCTGCTTTACCTGCACCTCACTGTAATTCAGGCTTTGGGAAACTTCGTGGCTTTGCCAGTGAGGTAGAAGCAACAGGATACTAGAGATCGAGTCATTGATGGTGGTCACTCAGAACACTGATGTGAGTTTGAATTTTTTGACCTAACTTAGAATTATTTGCACTTTGGCAGTGAGTGGAATGAAGGCTGGAAGTTGCTTTGGGGCAGTCTGGGGTGTTTGGGGAAAGCAGAGGCCCTTTTCCCTTGATGAGTGTCAGTGACTTTGTTTTAGCTGGCTGTAGTGCTCTTCTAAAATGCCCTTTGCCCAGAAGAGAGGAACAAGTAACACTTTTCGTCTTTTCCAATACCTTGTCTGGAAAGAATTGCCGGAACAGGGTATAGAGAGCACTTCATCACTCTCAAACTCCTTCTTTTATGCTTCTTTTTAAACACTATTTTTATATCGCTTCCTTTAACTAAACGGGTGGTTTTGTGCAGACATCTGTTGGCGATGTGACTTGCTGTGTTGCGACTGGAGTTAACGCTGCTACAGGTGATGGCTACAGCATTTCCAAATGCGGCTGGG